GGAGACGAGGGAGACGGGGGAGGGGAGACAGGAGATGAGGGAGAGGATACGAGGGAGAGGAGACGGGGCAGGGGAGACAGGGGAGGGGAGACAGGAGACGAGGGAGAGGAGACAGGAGACGGGAGACGGGGGAGAGGAGATGGGGGAGGGGAGACAGGGGAGGGGAGACAGGAGACGAGGGAGAGGAGACAGGAGACGGGGGAGGGGAGACGGGGGAGAGGAGACAGGAGACGGGGGAGGGGAGACGGGGGAGAGGAGACGAGGGAGAGGAGACAGAAGAGGGAGAGGAGATGGGGGAGGGGAGACAGGGGAGAGGAGACAGGAGACGAGGGAGAGGAGACGGGGGAGGGGAGACAACAGGCGGGGGAGAGGAGACAGGAGACGGGGGAGGGGAGACGGGGGAGAGGAGATGGGGGAGGGGAGACAGGGGAGAGGAGACAGGAGACGGGGGAGAGGAGACGAGGGAGAGGAGATGGGGGAGGGGAGACGGGAGAGGAGACAGGAGATGGGGGAGAGGAGACAGGAGACGGGGCAGAGGAGACAGGAGACGGGGGAGAGGAGACGGGGGAGACGGGGTGTCTTTATTGGTAGCCGGGCCCCAAGCTGAGGCTGGGGAGAGGCCAGCCCCATTAGAAGGTGTGCACCAGCTGCACCGCGGGCAGGGCCTGTACTATGTGAATAGACGGCAGCCCTGGCTGGCCAGCCCCGCCAGGGGGCACCGCTGCTGCCCCGGGGACAACCTGGACCACCTGAGGGCTAGGCCCCGCGGGAGCCCCTGGGGGCACAGGGGCTGGGCTGGGAGGCGGGGCCAACAGCTGGAGAGGCGCCCCTGGTACATTCTCTACCAGGTCTGAAGGGGCTGCTGGGGCACTGCGGATGATGAGAAGTTTCTGAGCCTGCGGGCCGGGGTCAGGGGACTCAGCCAGCCCCGGAGGGAGGGTCTCGACCCCCTGCACACAAAGCCTGGTCTGCTCCCCGTCAGCCCCACTCAGTACCAGGACGCTCTGCAGGCCCTCTGCAGTCTGTAATGTCTCAAAATGCACATCCTGAACCACAGTTCCAGCGCTGCCCCCACCCCCGTCACCTGAGCCCGCATCTCCTCCGGGTCCAGGGGCTGTCAGCAGCTCCTCCCCCGCCCCACCCTGCACCACCAGCAGATTTTGGGCTTCTGCTGGCCCACCGGACCCCCCCGGGCTGGCCACTGGCTGGAGCTGCAGGGAAACGTCTGGGGCGGGAGGCAGAGGCTGGAGCTGGACCGCGGTCACTTCCTGTGTGGGCTGCAGGGGCTGTAGTTGGACGGTAGCCACTTCCTGCGCGGGCTGGAGCTGGACCGTGGTCACTTCCTGTGTGGGCTGGAGCTGGACCGCGGTCACTTCCTGTGCCGGCTGGAGCTGGACCGCGGTCACTTCCTGTGCAGGCCGGAGAGACTGTAGCCGAACCCCACTTGTTTCCTGCGGCCCCACCTCTCCGCTGGCCACGCTCTGCAGGACGATGAGGCTTTGCCCCCCGCCTCCTGCAATGCTGCCCCCACCTCCCCCAGGCCCTGGGAGCCAGACCAGCCCGGGCCCTTGGCCCTCCCTCCCGCTGTTCTTGGGGCCCTTTCGGGCCCTAGCCCCAGAGGCCGGCAGCAGGAGGACCTTGGGTGGGGCTGGGGGTGGAGGAGGCGTGGGTCTGGGGGGCTGGACGCTGCTGGGGATGAGCTGGAGGCCCTGGGCCGTCTGCACGAGGAGGAAGGTCTGTGAGTTGGCCGGGCTGGGCCCTGCCTCTAGCGACAGCGTGGCCTGAAGGTGGGGTACGACGTGGACGTCCTGGGTGGCGGCGGCGGCCGGGGCCGGGGCCGGGGCGTGCGTCCGGAGGTGGCGCTGGAGGTAAGCGGCCATCACGAAGCCACGGCCACAGATGGTGCAGGCGAAGGGCCTCTCGGCCGAGTGGGTCCGCTGGTGAAGGAGCAGGTTGGAGGAGTGCGTGAAGGTCTTGGGGCACAGCGGGCAGCGGAAGGGTCGCTCGCCCGTGTGCACCCGCTGGTGCTGCCGCAGGTTGGAGGTCTGCGCGAAGCTCTTGCCGCAGACGCTGCAGGAGTGAGGCCGCTCACCCGTGTGCACATGCCGGTGGCGCCGCAGGCACGAGGTGTTGCGGAAGGCCTTGCCGCACTCCCCGCAGGGGTAGGGCCGCTCCCCGGAGTGCAGGCGCAGGTGGTACTGGTAGTGGGAGGACCACTTGAACGTCAGGCCGCACTGGGCGCAGGTGAAGGCGCGCAGGCCCGTGTGCACGCGCTGATGGATGGCCAGCAGCGACGAGCGCTTAAAGGCCTTGCCGCACTCCCCGCAGGGGTAGGGCCGCTCCCCGGTGTGGTCGCGCATGTGATAGCGCAGGCCCGAGGAGCCCTTGAAGGCCTTGCCGCACTCGGCACACTTGTAGGGCCGGTCGCCGGGGGGTGCCGGGGCCGGAGCCTCCTGGGGACAGGTGACCTCGGCCGCCTCGGCCTGCGGCAGCGGGCGCCCGGCCGCTGCCTCTTCGGCGTGGGCCCGCTGGTGGGCCAGGAGGCTGGCCAGCTGGGGGAAGGCCCGGTCACAGCCGCCACAGCGGTAGGCCGGCGCCCCGGCTGGCCCGTGGCTTTGTTGGTGGCGAGACAGGCCGGCTGCGGTCTTGAAGGCTTTGCCGCAGGGCGAGCAGGTGAAGGTCGCAGGCTGGGCAGCGGCCACCTCTGCCCCGGGCCCCGGGCAGGGCTGGTGCTCGAGCAGCAGGGTCTCGCTGGCAAAGGCCAGCTCACAGCCACCACAGCGGTAGACCAGCTCCACCGTGGTCTCGGCCGCCGCCAGGAAGAGCTCGGGGACCACAGGGGGCAGGGGGGGTGGAGGCAGAGGCGGAGGGGGGGCCTCCGTGGAGTGTGTCTGCAGATGGCGCTGAAGGTAGGCATCGGAGGCGAAGACCTTGCCACAGGGCTCACAGCGGTGAGCGGAGGCCGAGGCCGCGGCCGGCCCGTGGGTCCGCTGGTGGAGGAGCAGGTTGGACGAGTGCGTGAAGGTCTTGGGGCAGGCGGGGCAGCGGAAGGGCCGCTCACCCGTGTGCACCCGCTGGTGCTGCCGCAGGTTGGTGCTCTGGGTGAAGCTCTTGCCGCAGACGCCGCAGGGGTACGGCCGCTCGCCCGTGTGCACGTGGCGGTGCCTGCGGAGGCTGGATGAGTTCTTGAAGGCCTTGGGGCAGTCCGGGCACGGGTAGGGCCGTTCTCCCGTGTGCTGACGCAGGTGGTACTGGTAGTGGGAGGACCACTTGAAAGCCAGGCCACACTGGGCACAGGTGAAGGCGCGCAGGCCCGTGTGCACACTGCGGTGAATCTGCAGCAGAGAGGAGCGCTTGAAGGCCTTGCCGCAGTCCGGGCAGGGGTAGGGCCGCTCGCCCGTGTGGCCCCGCTGGTGGTAGAGCAGGGCCGAGGAGCCCTTGAAGGCCTTGGGGCAGTCCGGGCACTTGTAGGGCCGCTCTCCCGTGTGCGTCCGCTGATGGTGGAGCAGGCGGGATGACCACTTGAAGGACTTACCGCACTCCCCACACTCATACTGTGCTGGCGGTGGGCCGGGAGGGGGGGCTGCCTGCTCCCCAGGCCCCTCAGTGGGTGGAGCTGGAGCCATGTCCAGGTGGGAGCCCACCATGGCACCTGCGAGGATCAGTCAAGGAGCAGTTATTAGGCGCCTTCTGTGTGCCGGGGAAGAATGGCGGGGAGGAGGCACATAAGTCAATATGGTAATGGGGGGGGCAATCAGAAAAGCCTCTCACATAAGCAAGCTGGGGAAAGAGGGGCAGTCTTCCAGGTGGGGAGCTGGGGTGCCTGGGCAAAGGCACGGAGGTGGGAGGTGAGCTGTCACATAAAGGGAACAGGAAGGAGGCCGGGGAGGCTCGAAGGGAGCTTAGAGAGTTCAACCCCTTCTTTTTCCAGAGGAGGAAACTGAAGCACTCAGAGGGCAGCACACAACCTTCTGATGGATCATGGGACCAGGAACTTCTGCTCCCCTCGCTGAGCCTCGGTTTCCCCTTCCGCAAACGTGGGCATTGGCCGCAGTCTCTTCCCTTGGCCCCCATTAACCTCCTGGCCCCCCATTAACCTTCTGGCCCCTTTAAGAAACTGACAGGCGCCTTTAAGAGGGAAGCTTATTTTCCTGCCGATCGAAGAAAGGCCGGTGGGGTGAGACTCCCCTTTAAGAACAGACATCAGGCGTCTCGCTTAGTCCCGCCCCTTCCGGTCGCACCAGCTACGCCCTTCCAGGTCCCTTTCCTCCTTCCCCAACAACACCCCCACCCTCGGTTTTCTCTCTTCCCTGGTTTCTTACCTGCGGCTTCGGGGGGAGGGGAAACGAGGGGCCCCGAATCGGGGGATGCCGGGAAGGTGGGAGTTCCGGGAGGGCCGGGGAGGGAGGACAGCCTCCCAAAGGCCCCGGCGCGAGGCAGCCAAGCTTGATCGGCAGTGGCCGCGCACACAAACTGTCTCCCTCGTGCGTCAATGCGCATGCGCGAACTTGATTGACCGTCCCGAGGACTTCTGGAACCAGTAGTCCCAGCGCCTCTCAGTGGACTACAATGCGCATGCGTGATCCCAGATTTCGCGTCGAGACCGCCTAAATTGTTCTGCTCCACCCCGCTGCGGGTCGTATAACTGCGCACGCGCAATTTTCCACCGGCCGTCCCAGCGGCGCCTTCAAAGACTTGTGGTTCTCCATCACTCCGTCCCTTGCGTCAGTGCGCGTGCTCACTTGCGACTTACTGTTCCCTACTTAGGTCTCAAATCTCGTGTACCTCCCGACGCATGCTTGCCTCATGATGCGAGTTAAGCCAAGGGCCACTGCGCACGCGCCTTTTTCTCTTTCCGCGATTGGGCGCCGCGGCGCCGGTGCACTCTGGGACTTGTAGTTCTTGGGTAGGACCGTCTGATGGCTGTCTTCCCCCGACTATCTGCTAGGGGTGCAGGCGGCTACGCTCCTGGATTCCCCTAGGAAGGACAAAGTTATTGGCTCAAGAGCAAGCCACTTTGGGCCCGGATGCCTTTGAGCTGGTCCCAGTGCCCGGATAAACCATCTGGGGGGCGTCATTCTGCCGCCTTGCCCCGTCCACTCCCCGTGGGCGGGCATGAGATGAGCTGCATGCCAGGGATGGGAGTCTAGAAACACGCCCCTCCCACACACACCCCAGTTACCCACAGACCCCGGATAACCCACTGAATGTGAAACTCCCCCACGGTCGGGCTGGGTGTCACGGGCTGCAAAGTGGGCGCATCCGCAATTTCGTGTTCTTTCCTCTAGCGAAATTAACAAGTTTGGAGGAGAAGTCCACAGCGATGCTCCTCACCCCGGGGAGCCGCGGGGCTCAGGGGATCTTGGCTCTGCCCAGTCAAGCTGCGGGCTGGAGAGGAAGCCAAGCTAACTGCCCCCGCCCCAGCAGGCCTCCACTGCGCCTCACCTTTCCAGACAGCCTGCCCCATTATCCGGCCTAAATGAACCTCCTGCTCTTCCCCACCCCCCCAGACACAATACGCTGCCGCTTTAAACAGCCCTGCTCAGCGGAGGGCACTGAGGGATCCAACCAGGTACCCAGTGGGAGCCTTGGGTGGATTTGAGCCTGAGGGAACTGGCTGCGCAGCTTGGAATAGGCCTTCTAAGCCTTCTCTGGGTCTCAGTATCTCCATCTGTAAAGGGCATAGTGTTGTGTGAAACTTCAAGTTCGTCTTAAAGGCAGAGGGCCCTCTGTCACATTCAAACCATTGAGGGGAATCTGGCTGTTCTCCCCAGCCCCTTCATCCTCTCCGATTCCGGACCCAGTTTCACAAGCTCCCCAGCCTCACCCCCACCTCCCCCTAGCACATGGAACCCAGCAAGACCTGCAGCCCCAGTTCAGCTGCTCAACTGAAAAAGCTGGGCTGTCTTCGGCTTGCCCTCGGATCCCCATAGAACAGCTGGACACATCCCTCCCAATGATACCCTGGAAGAGGAGATGGGGATTGCCAGTGCCCACCTTCAGGGAAGCTCCTCGAGCTTTGGTTTCAGGGGTGGCCACTCTGAGCTTCGGGTATTCTCATTCTCCCACCCCACCCCCCACTACTCACTCGCTCTAAATTAGAAGCAGAGAAAAAGTCTATGGGTGATGAATATAATTGACTGGGTTTGGAGTCAGGAAGACCTGAGTACAAATGTGACCTCGGACTCTTGACTAGCTGGGTGACCCTGAGCAAGTCACTTAACCCTGTTTGCCTCAGTTTCCTCATCTATAAAGTGAGCTGGAGAAGGAAAAGGCAAACCACTCCATCTCAAAATAGGGTCACAAAGAGTTGCCATGGCTGAACAACAACAGAGATATAATCGGGGAGTTCTCCTCCCCACCCCCCACACATACAAGCCCTGGCTAGGGCACACCCGTGGAGCAGACCTAGAGTTGGCCCCTTGCAGTACCACATTTGCACGGGCCTTTTCCGGGGGCCCTTTGACAAAGCGCATGAGCACCCTGAGGTTTCAACTTGGGTTCCATTTGTCATTTTTCCACTCTCCCCACATCCCTGGTGGGGATGTGGGTAGGGGTATGCTGATTCAAAGCTTCATCAGAGCCGAGTGGAGCTGGCAGCTGAGAAGGCCTTAGAAGGAGGGATTGGGCCTCTGCTGGTCTCTTCTGTCCTGAAAATCTAGCCTGGCTTGGAACTTTCTCTCTGGGACTTCCAGCGGGGGAAAACAAGGGACTTCTCCCTCTTTGGCAGGAGTTGTGGTAGTTTCAAGTGCTTGCCTCGGTCGCCTAAATGAGTCTGGGCTTCAGGCTTCTGGCTTCGGGCTGCTTCTCCTGCTCTTGGCCGCTCAGAAGCAAGGCTGACATCAGGGGTGCTCCTGGGTCCCCTCCAGAGGTGGCCCCCGAAGCCACTGGAGTGCCCAAGTCCCAGCCTGGCTGGCTAGGAGCCGCGGAGTTAGAGAGATGGGCCAAGGGAAGGAGAAATGGCTCCCTCAGCAGATGGCCTGGCTCCAGTTTGGATGTTTTGGGCCTCCTCCATCTGGAGGATGAGGAGTTGTGAGTTACTGCCTCAGGGTGCTCTTGGCTTGCCCATCGGTCTTCTCCATCTGAAACTTTTCTGCTTGTGTGGAGGAAATAAAGAGCTGTCCCATACCTGGTCTGCACTCTCTACCTTTCGAGCTTTTTTTTCAGGGAGACCTAGACAGAAGCCAACCTTTAGGTGACTTCCCTAGGGGGACGGGGATGGAGGCACGTAGGGCCAGAGAGTAGAAGAAAAGGAGCCTGCGCCCTCTTGTCAGAGTCCAGCGAGGCCTGAATGTGATCTGAGCATGCCTGGCCAGAGCTGGTGGTGAGACAGCGAGCTGGCCAGCTGCCCTGGGCCCAGCAGGGTGTCCGGGGAGGGTGTCTATGTGCATGCCACCTCCCCCTAGAAGGAAGGAAGCACCTTGAAGGCACGGACCATTTCACTTCTGTCCTTTTGTCACCTTACACAGTACCTGGTGCATAGTAGGTGCTTAATCAATCCTTGTTAATGTCCAGGAAACGCTTTGTAAGCTAGGAAGTGCTACATAAATTGGGTGTTGTTATTATTACTGCCATCCTCATCCTCGTCCCAAAGAGGTGGCTTCAGGAGGAGGAAGGGAACAAATATTTATCAAGTCCCTACTCCATGCCAGCCACTGAGCTAAGTGCTTTGCAAGTATTTAATGCTCACAACAACCCTGGGAAACGGGTGCTCTTATTGCCCCATTTTACAGTTGTGGAAACTAAGGCAGACAGAGGTTAAGTGACTTGCTGAGGCTCATACAGCTGGAAAGTGTCTGAGGCTGGATTTGAACTGAGGTCTTCCTGATTCCAGGCCCAGCGCTCTATTTCTCAAGATGGCTGCCTTGAGAGAAGGGGCAACAGCGGGGACAGAGCTTAAAAATCATCTTATTTTGTGGATGGAAAGACAAGAGTCCCAAACTAAGATGCCAGGGACAGTTGAGGAACAGGAAAGCCAGCCTCTGGGGGCCGGAAAGCAAGGGCAGAAGAAGGGAGCTGGGGCCAGCGGGAGACACGGAACACTGAGTGCCTGGCCGTGGGACCCTTTTCCTTTAGGGACTCAGTTTCCTTTTTTGTAACATGAGGGGGTTGATCTCTTCCAGCTGTAGATTTTTCAACAGCTCCTCCAGGCGTGCTTTCCACTACTATTAGCAGTTGGCAGGGCTGTCGGAGGTGTTCAGGGAGGACTACCTCCTCTGGTTTGAGGGATGTTCATCCATCTTTGGGGTCCACCTTCACCCAACTCTCACCCGTGCCTCCAAGAAGCTGCACCGAGCCCAGTGGCCGCACCCTGCTAAAACCGTCTTGGCTGATGGGCTCAGCCAGCTTGAGGGTAACCGATGGGCCATCGGGAAGTTAGAAGGCTGTCTACCCCAACTATGTGAAGACTTCCCCGGTCAAACGGGCAGCTCCAATGGCCACGAAGGCGGTGCTTGGAGGTTAGTCAGCCATCAAAGATGCCAAGGTCCTCCACTGCATCCTGAGCCCTCCACAATCATCTTGCGTTTTGTCTTGCCCCTGGACGGCAATGACTGGAGGAGAGTTGTGCGGTTCTGCCTCACTTAAATCCAGTTCACAGAGGAGTCAAAATATCACCCATGATGTCATTGGGCCTTTTTAAAAAAGAAGGATGAACACCAAAAATCAGATGCTATCAATGAGTCAGCCAGACTTAATTAGCTTCTAGAAAGTGGTGCATCCAAAGTCAAGTCAAGTCAGCAAGAATTTATTAAGCACTTCCTATGTGCCAGGCACTGTGCTGGGAATACAAATGTAGAAGTGAAGAGACAGCTTGCCCTCAAGGAGTTTACATTCCAACGGTAAAAGACAATAACATGAAGGGAGTGGGGAGGGGCGTGATAGAGAAGGAAGTTCAGAGAGTCAGGAGTGGAGTCTGGAGAGACATGAAGGTCCCCCTGCTGTCCCCTGCCTCAAGAAAACCGTCTGTGCACATTCTCACACGAGTGTGTACAGGGTCTAGGGGAAAGTGAGCCCAAGCTTAGACCCCAGGTGCAGACTCGGTAACTTGGAGCTCCAAGAAGTCCTTTTGCTGGAGGGCTCCTTGGAGAGCCCCCAGTCGGTTTTCGTGATTTCATCCAGACCGTCCTTGGCTTCCCGTGCAGATTCGGGGGATGCTTCTTGGCCATCAGTAGGAAAATGGCAAGTCCAAAACCTTCCAGTGCTCCGATGTTCTTGAGGTCCACCCCTGGCCCGGGGCATGGGGAGAGGAGGTCAGTCCCAAGGGGCTGTCTTGGCTGAGGGGATGGGGAGAGGAGGCCAGTCCCATGGGGCTTTCCTTTCCCCAAGCATTGGCTGGAATGCTGTCTCCTGGCTTACCACTTGCTTGGATCTCCAATTCCCCGGGGTAAGTGGAATGGGCTTCTGACCCCACCTTTAAACTGGGAATGTACTCCCTCCTCATCCCTACCCCCCCCCAGGGAACCCTTTGCCCCTTCAAAGGCTTGTTCAATACCAATGCCTTCCAGATGCCTCTCCTGATGCCCCCCCACCTGTCAGTTCTTCCCCTATCCCTGTACCCCATAATGATTTGGTACATATCTTGCATTAATTTTCAGCATGGATTTGCTCTTCTGATTATGATGGAGCCTCCTTGAGGACAGAGCCCGTTTTTGTCTTTTCCTGACACATAAGGAGGACAGAATCAATGCTAATTGAATTGAGAGTTGAGTTGAATTGACTATTCTCCCCAAACACAGTGTGGGTCTGAGTACTCACCCCGAAGAGTTCCCTCAGCAACTTTAGGAGAGCGGATACATGCAGTGAACATTCAGAGGCATTGAGTGTAACCATGGCAACTCATGCTCCTCACATGGCCTCCAACCTCTGACCTCTGACCCTGCTGATCCACCAACAGAGCCCTCAGGGCTCCCAGGGGCCCTGCATCCAGCTCCGAACTGCTTTCTCCACAAAGTGGGGACCAGCTGGACTTTTTTTTTTTTTAACTTTCCCTCCCTTCTTTCTCTATCTTCCATTTCCTCCCCAAATAGCTCGTTTTTGCTTTCAGAATTACTCTTTCCTACCCTCTGATCACTTCCCCATTTGGGGACAGCATATATATCTTAGTCCCCTACGCATATCGGATACCAAGATTTTTTCCTAAATTTTCCTTTCTTATCCAAACTGAATTGATTTCATTCATGCAGAAGCTTTTAAAGTTCATGTAATCAAAACTAGGCCAGGTAGCTTGCGCAGTGGATGGAGCTCCAAGCCCTGGAATTGGGCTCAAATCTGGCCTCAGACACTTACTAGCCATGTGACCCTGGGCAAGTCATTAAAAATTAGAGCTCTCTGTCCTTGTCCCCATACTGCACGTGGAATTTCCCATCTTTATCAAACAACCTTTTCAGCTACCAGACATAAGTAATCAATCCACTGTATCCAAATATTAAGAAAAAAAAAGGGAACTTGGTAAGGTGAGCCCATTCGGAGCCCTCTGCCTCTGGCCATCCCAGATTCCTTCCACTTACCTTTCTGGAGATGGGAGATCAGGGTATTTAGGGAAAGGCCTGCAGGTGCCCTCACCAGCAGATGGTGAAGAGAGAATACAGGCGGATATGTTTGAGGCCCCGCCTGTGCTCCAAAGAGGACAAGCCAGAGACACAGAGGGTGTGTGGGGGAAGAAACATATTCCCCCCACCGCTGGCGCTTTGCTTCATGGAGTCTATGACGGCTGCCATTCTCCAGCACTCAGGCTCCCTTCTCATTCTTATCCCTCCTTTTGCTCCTGGCCTGGTTATTTTAGCAGCACTAACGCCAAGAAGCTTGTGCAGCGGCCACACCCGGGGAACTGACAGGCCTCAGACCCGTCATGAGTAAGGGAACGTCTACCCCAAGCACGTGAAGACTTCCCCCGCTGGGATGGGCACATGAGAACAATTGGTTCCGGCAATGAAGGTGACTGAAGCAGATGACCTCAGTCCAAGGTCATCCCCTGTGTCCAGAGCCACGGCCAGTTGTCTTGACTTTTGTTCTGCCACTGGACTTCAGTGACTCAGGAAGAGGGCAAGGCTGATGACCTTGTGTAGTTCTGCCTCACTTCAATCCAATTCATGCGCCTATGATTGGTCCTCTGAAAACAAAGGACGAACAACAATTTTGTTACCGGTTGCTCTCTTGCCTCTGGTCCTCGGCACTACAGGTAGAGACGAGTTGGAGACATTCTCACCAACACTGCCTGCCTGCCGAGTCCCAGAATCTTAACCTGCCCTCATCACTACCTCTCTCACATAGCAACTCACAAGTCTGCTTCCCAGTGTCCACTGCACAGGGTCCGAGAGCCACAGGCCAGGTGCAAAAGCTCTTTGCTACCCAAGGTCAGAATGCATGACGGGAAGTCCTGCTTCAGGACAAAGGAAAAGTGAACTAGGGATCCCAGCCTCGGAGACCCTTGTAGAGAGATCTCAGAGACTCCCATTATCCTTCAGTTTTGTTTTGCTCTGTGATAATATCTCAAGGCTCCTTAGCTCCCACAGAGATGAATCACCATTGTAGAAACACTGACTCCATCAAGTATATCCATATGTATATAACTAGTGCATATGTCTATGCATATGTGGATACGTGTATGTATGTGCGTATATATATATTGCGTGTGTGTGTGTGTGTGTGATATATATGTATATGTAGGGGCAGCTAGGTAGTATAGTGGATAGAGGGCTAGGCCTGCAGTCAGGAGGACCTGAGTTCAAATCTGGCCTGAAACACTTACTAGCTGTGTGACCCTGGGCAAGTCACTTAACCTTGTTTGCCTCGGTTTCCTCATCTATAAAATGAGTGGGAGAAGGAAACGGCCAGAAAACCCCAAAGGGGGGGTTACGATGAGTTGGATGTGATAGAACAAGTACCTTTTTGTACAGGCCCGCAGTCGATGCGCTGCCTGAGGAGCTATGGAGCGCGCCATTCTTGGAGGTGCTCCAGCAGAGGTTGTGACACCTTCTCATGAATGCTGTAGAGGGGCTTCCCGTCCAGACGCACGTTGGTCTAAATGGCCTCTAAGGTCACCCCCAGCTCTGAGATCCTGTGATTCTGCATGAGCACAGAGGCAAATATGCAGAAGGCAGGCCAGCCCCACCATCCCCTCGATCTTGGCATCTTCCTGCCTGAATGTACCGTCCGTTCCCACGCCTGCACCTGCCATAGCCAGGCAGGAGAGGCAATGGAAAGGGGGCCCAATGCGGGGGGAGGTGGGGTCCCAGGGCGTGGGGATCCTGGGACCTGCTCCTTTAGTCTGCCTAGGAGGACCCTGACCTAGGCGGAGCCTTCCCAGCGATGGGTGAAACTCCCCCCTACACACAAGGGCCCCTGCTCTCACCTTCTGGGAAGGCTTAAGTCAGGAGACAAGGTCCACCCAGCTCAGGGCCTGGGCCAATGGGGCAGGAACCTGGGCAGCCTCAAGCTGTTCCTCAGCAAGGGAGACCGAGACAGCAGTGACTGAGTCAGAGATAGGAACTGAGGCGAGAGAACACTAAGAGATCAAGAGCCCAAGTAAGAGTCAGAGACTGAGCTCCAGAGACAGAGAGATACCAAGATAGAGATCCACGGAAATTATTGGAGTATGAGTCGGTCCAAAGCATCCCCCACCCCTCACAAGGACATACAGAGGCCAGAGGGAAATAGGCTTGAGCTCAGAGGGCCCATGTGGCAGATGGCAAAAGTCACAGCTGTGGATGGAAATCTTTGTCTCCCTTTGGAGAAACCCATGTATTCTTACCTGATAACGATTCTGTAGTTTTTTAGTTGTACCTGACTCTTGGTGACCCCATTTGGGGTTTTCTTGGCAAAGATACTGGAGTGGTTTGCCATTTCCTTCTCCAGCTCATTTTGCAGATGAGGAAACTGAGGCAAACAGGGTGAAGTGACTTGTCCAGGGTCACCCAGCTTGGAAGCGTCTGAGGCCGGGAAGACGAGTCTTCCCGACTTCAGTCCCAGGGTTTCATCTGCTGTCCCACGCAGCTACTCCTACCTGATAAAGATTTCAGGCCACATAGCTTCTTGTTAATTGATTAATTGGTATTTCAATGTAGCGTCCGCCGCTTACAAACCGTAGATTGCTTTGCCACCCTTCTAGTGCTCTATCAATGTGGGGAAGATAAGGGCTCAGGCAGGTGGCAGGGAGCGAATAGGAAAGCCCCGGTCCAAGGGTTGACTCTAAGAAACAGGAGGAATCACTCGCCACTTTCAGCTGGGGAGGGCCCCAGGTATCCTTGCAGGAGAAGGCCTTTGTCAAAGCCCAGAGCATAGTCTATGATCCCCTCTCAAGAAATCTCTGAAGCTCCCGAGTGCCTCCAGGTAAGACATAGGCTCTTCTCTTGAACATTTCCAGCCCTTCCCAGTTGAGTCTTAACTCACCTTCTTCACTAAGTCTCCGTTGCCCCCCTCTGTGCACTGACCTGCCTGTCCTTCTCTACACACAACATTCCGTCTCTACGCCTTTGTACACACTGCTGTTTGTCCTTCATTCTCCAAGGGGACCAGTGATGTCGTGGGGTGGTGTCTTGACTTCGGTTGGACTGAAGTGAGGTGGGGCTGTGCAAAGTCATCAGCCTCTCTCTCTCTTCCAGTCAGCCAAGTCCAGCGGCGGGACAGAAGTCAGGATGACTAGTGATGACCTTGGTGTCTTCCGTGTCTGACTAACCTCTAAGCACCCTACAGGTCTGCTTCGGCTACCTTCATGGCCTTTGGAACGCATCTGCCGTTCTCATCTGCCGGGGAAGTCTTCACAGGCTTGGAGTAGACACCCCACTAACTCACCCCACTAACTCCTGAGCTTTAGCACATCGGCCAAGGTGTGGCCCCTGTACCTTACAGCTTCTTGGAGCCCCAGGTGAGAGTTGAGCGAAGGTGGACACCAGAGGTGGATGAACAGCCAGAAAAGCATTGAGCAGCCCTCACCCCAGAGGCGCTAGTCCTCCCTGAACACCCCATCCACCCCAGGTTTCAGCACATGCTGTATGTAGCTCATGCCTGGAATGCTCTTTCTCCTTACCAACAACTCTCAGAATTCCAAGTTTCTCTTAAGGCTCAACTCAAAAACTACTCGTTGACTTTCCTAATCCCACCCTCAAAATACTTTTGATTTATTTCGCATATATAGTTATTCACATATTGGTGTTTTGATGTTTTCCTACCCAGGAAAAATCCAGTCATTCTCCCCCCTCCCCTCATGGTCCATGAGGGCAGGATGTTTGTGTTTTTGTCTCTTTCCCCAGTGCCTGGCACATAGTAAACACTTAATAAAGGTCTACAGATTGATGGATGGAGTTGAACCTTTAAGAAATAAAGAGGGTTCAGCAGATAGAGATGGGGTAAGCCAGGTCCATTTGAGGGCTGGGGAACAGCATAAGAAAAACCTACATGTGAGAAAGACCAAAGTGGGAACGGTGGATGAGAGTGTGGCTAGAACACAGAATATCTGAAGAAAAGCAGTGCGAGGTACTATCGGAAGAAAGATCGTGGAAGGCCTTCAATGTCAGGGTAATCCTAGTAGTTCACACTACCTTGTAAGTGATGGCAACCAACAGGGACCTCTGTCTTTGACTAGCGGAGTGATGTGATCAGAGGAGCGTTAAGAAGACTAGTCCAGAATGATCGTGGAGGAGTGATTGGGAGACCCGAGGCAGGGAGATCAGCTAGGATGATACATAGTTTATTCAGGAAAAGCTGAGGGCCTGAACATTAGGAGGGACTGGGGGAGTGCACAGCAAACGTCCCAAGATGTATCCTGGAAATGGAAACAACAGACGCTGGCAAAGAACTGCATGTAGAGCATGAAGGACAGAGAAACGTTGGTGAAAACTCAAGGGTATTGGGAAGATTGACAGAGGCGCTCCATCCTCATCCCTCCTGCTCCTCCTCGTCCTCCCTCACTGGCCCCATTGCCCTCCTTCCCTCAATCTTTCCTTCTGCCCTGCACCCCTTATTTTTTTGTCCCCTTCCCTCTCACTCTCCATGTCCCCACCGTTCTCTCTGTCTCCATCCCTCTTTCTGTCACTCCAGCTTCCTGGCTTCATCTATATACTTTCTCTCTCTCTTCCTGTTTCTCTCTCTCTCTCTCTCTCTCTCTCTCTCTCTCTCTCTCTCTCTCCCTCTTTCCCTCTCTGTCTCTCTCCCTCCCTTTCTCTGTCTCTCTCTCTCTCCTCTCTCTCTCTCTCCCTCCCTCTCTCCCTCTCTCTCTCTCTCCCTCCCTCTCTCTCTGTCTCTTTCTCTCTCTCTCCTCTGTCTCTGTCTCCCTCCCTCTCTCTCTGTCTCTGTCTCTCTCTCTCTCTCCCTCTCTCTCTCTCCCTCTTTCTCTCTCCTCTCTCCCTGTGTCTCTGTCTGTCTCTCCTTTCATCTGTCTCTACATCTCTTCACACCACACCTTGGGCTGCCATCCCATCCTCTCAAATACTTCTCTGTTTTACCATCTCTCCATTTTTGGTTATGTCTCACTTTACCTCTCAGTTTCTCTGTGTCTCCATCTCTCTCTCTCTCTGTTCCTTTGTCTATTTCTCTCCGTATCCCTCCATCCCTTTCTCCATGTCTCCATGTCTATCTTCATCCCTCTGGAGCCTCTGAATCTCCATGTCCCTCTCTCTGACTCTCTCCAACCTGCTGTCTCTTTATCTCTGTCTATCTTTATCTCTCTCTCTGTGTTCCTTTCCCATGTTTAGCCTGGAGGGGAGAGGACTTGGAGAGACATGATAGCTATTTTCCAGTATTTGAAGAAATAACATGTGCAGTGTGTGGGGGGGATTAGACCTGGAGGAATGGGTGACAGTTATAGAGAAGTAAATTGGAGGGGGGCATTAGGGGGAGGGTGTGAGGAAACACTCTCAGGCAATGAGAACTGTCCCAAAGTGGAATGGATTGCCTTGGGAGATGCTAGGTTCTTTAAGCAAGGGTGGGCTGGATAACCATTTTCTGGACATACTGTAGGCTGTGGTGGTGGGGGTCATTTAGGTGGAGCAGACGCCTTTGAGGTCCCTTCCAGCTGAGTTTCTCTGATCTCTGCCTCTCTGACCCTCTGACACTCCTCATCTTACACTTTTTTTTCCCACCACTCTCTTCAAATCTCTCTGCATCTTTCTCTTTTCATTATTGTCTTTCTTCATCTCTCTTTTCATCCCTATATCTGTGTCTCCCCATCCCTCTCTCTTCATTCCTCTTTATCCTATCTCTCCATCTCCCACTTTGTAGCTCTTCTATGCCTCTCTCCATCTTTACATCCTTTTCTCTCCATTCCTGTTTCCAGCCTTCTCTTTTATCTCTCCTTGCCTGTCTTTCTCCATCCCTGTTTCTTTATTCCCCTCTATCTCACTCCATTCCTCTCTCTCCATTAACCTCTCCCATCATCTCTTCCTCTGTCTCTCTTTATCCCTTCATCTCTCTATCTAAATTTCTTTTTCTGTCCATCCTTCTCTCTTTCCAGCCTCCATCTCTTTACGTTCTTTTCACTGTACCACTCCATTCATCCTTCTCTCTCTATCCATCCTTCCTCCAGTCTTTTTCTATCCCTCTCTCTCCACCTCTCTCCCCTCCATACTTCTGCCCACCCCTGACTCCAAGGTGGTCTCCCTCGGCTCCCCCCATCCCCGCCCCCCCTCGAAAGGGTTAACTTTGGGGAAGGGCCCGGGAGTCCCCGGATGGTGATGTCAGCGGGCGAGAGAGAAAGGACGCGGTGGTGGCGGGGGGAGGCGGAGAGGAGGAGGAGGAGGAGGAGGAGGAGGAGGAGGAGGAGGAGGAG